CTTTTACTAACCCATCTTCACCAAGTCTACTGCTACAGTCTAATCTCAAGCTAAGTACATAAGATGCAACTTCACCAAGCCTAGCCTCTGTAGCCAAGGAGGGAGCAGGTACATTATCTAGCTTTCTTAGTGAAAGTCTCCGTAGCTGAGCGAGAGGCCCCAGCTCTTGTAAACTACACCACTCACCATCTGCTTGTGCAGGAAACCCGCATAAATACCTCAAATTTGTCAATCCACAGAACTGTCGGGGTATGCCATTTATGCTTACACCTAAAAGGTCAAGATGCCTAAGCCGCCCTAGCTTTACAAGGCTTGGATGCCTAAGCCGCCCTAGCTTTACAAGGCTATTAGGAAGCCTGACTAAGTTTTCAAACTCAATCTCAAGGTACTGCAATAATTTGAGTTTGTTGATGTTCCGTAGTAGTCTAGCTAGGTCGCTGCATTTTAGAAAGATATACCTCAAATGTTTGAGATGGTGCAAGGATTCAGCCAAGGAAGCAGTACAGTTGGCGTCTTCTATGTGCATAATTCTTAGGCTTGAAAAATTAATCAACAAATCCCCATGGTTAATCTTGAGCTCACCAATTACTATTAGTGTTCTAAGTGATCCCTGGCCTTGTATAAGTCTCCAGTCAAATTCATCATTTGGTTGCAAATCATTGGTTTCTATAGACAGCCTAAGAAACTTTTGTGTTTGAAGTGCACCTTTGCCTCTTTCATCTAAAGTTGAAACTACAAATGCTTCATCTCTAGATAGATGTTGAGAAAATGAGCGAACAACATCATGCATGCTGCTAACACTGATTAGCATATTCTTCATCTGGCTCTATTAGGTTTCTGTAAATTAACTCTTGATATTACCCTTCTCCTAATTTTTCTAAATCATCGGTGTCCCCGTGAAGAAATCATTCGCTTATCCACATGCCAAGACTGTGACATTGTAGAATACTACATTTTTTGGGAGGAGGGAGCAGTGCAGAAAGCATTGCTTCAAACAAGGATGCAAATCTTGATAGTTCAGGTACACCGCATCGTCTAATAAAGCAGGAGGTATTGACCACATAAAATCTTGCAGAACTTGCTCCCAATCAGATCTCCGTTTCTCCCTCCTACGCAACAGCCCTCCCATTACTTTTACAGCAAGTGGTAATCCGCCACATTTCTTTATTATTTCCATTCCGATGTCCTTTAGTGTGTCATCAATTTCAACCTCCTCCATATCATCACTTGATGCTACCTGAACATGCATGCATGCATGAATTCAGATTAATTTTGAGCTTACTAGCTAGCAATTAGTACAAGATTACATATATATGCTGGTAATAATTAATATGGGTAGAGCTATGACCTGTTTCTTGAGCAGTAACCATGCATATTGAGGGTACAGTTTGTCGACGTGGTGGAAAGGTTGCATGGCTTCCATCCGTTGGGTGACTTCGTCATGGCGGGTGGTGATGAGGAGGTGGCTGCCGGCGGCGCCATGGCTGAAGGGTGCCTTGAGTAAATTGTCCCAAGATCTTTCACTCCACACGTCATCGAGCACCAAGAAGAACCTCTTGTCCCTGATGGCGTCGACGAGCGCTAGCACGAGCAGTGACTTGTTGCTCTCTCGACCATCGCTGGCGCCGCCGACAGACTTGATGGCCGTCCTCAGGAGGTTCACCTCGTTCACGTCTTGTGTCACGCTGAGCCATATCTTCTTGTCGGACGCTTCCTTGATGGCCTCGTCGTTGAACACCTTCTTTCGCCAGTTTTGTCTTGCTGATCCCGCCGGTGCCCACCATGGCAACCACCATCACCGCGTCCTGCTTCTTGTGCTTGCCATCGGTGAGTCTCCTCACCAGCGCCCTGGTGTCCTCCTTGATCTTCTCTCCGACCACGGCCGACTGCTCCAACACCGGGTCCGTCCTGCGGTTGGCGACGCTGAACCGTCGAGGCGCCACCATGTCTTCGTAGGACTCCAGCTTGAGGAAGCTGAAGGTGGCTGCGCTCTTGCAGATGGCGTCGAGCCTGGCATTGAGCGCCTTGATGCGGCTGCCAATGTCGTGGGCGAAGAGTGGATTACGGAGGCAGAAGAGCAGCGGTAGCCCACAGGGTCGGAGGAGGATGAGCTACCACCCCCGCGCTGCATGGCCTTGAGGTGGCAGAGGTCAAGGATGTCGGTGGCGTCGTACATGGTGTGCTTGAGCTTCGTAACCCAGCCCTGGACACTCAGGTCGGTGATGCGTCGGCGATCGGCGTCGGCGAGATAGTCCTTGAGGATGCGCAGCTTGTCGTGGAGGGTGGCGATCTCGAGGGAGACGCCGAAGAGGAGGTTGAGCTCGTCCTTGGCCACCTGCTTGAGCAGGTTGCCAACGTAGGACGCGAACACATCCAGAACAATGGCCATATGTGAATGTGAATGATCGACACAAACACACATTGACACTAACGGAGGGCAGATTGGTTGATGAGGCAGTCAGTACCCGCACGGACGTGTATATAGCTACCAACATACATTTTTTCCTTTTTTTTTTTGAAATAAAGTTTATCCCTGCCTTGCCTTGCTCTTCATCCTATGCTTAGCTTGATGCTTCTGCTTCAATCTTTAATTTGTTGTTAGCTCTTTTTTCTTTTATTTTTTTGGTGAGATTGTGATGCAAGGAAGGGCTTATTACGGGGTCTATCTTTTTCCTTGTCATCATTTCCTTCATTTGCTTTTTTCTACCCTCTTCTTGAGGGTACATAAATATTGGTCGTTGGGTGTGATTGAGTACAAGATAATGAAACCTGAGTATGCCGGTATTAAAACCTTGTTAGTGGGTGCATTTTTAAGTTTAGAAAAAAGAGTCACTTAGGATATTTCTGCACATCAGCTTGCCACCCCAGCAAAATGATAAGTGCGTAAATAACCTCCTAAGATCTTCCTACATGCGTAAAATTATGCATATCTTTGAACCATGCAAATCTTCATACACATCAATATTGTCGAATCACCTATCCCGTTGGATTAACAAACTACTACTCATCATGTCAGATTCAACGGCTTACTGATCCACAGGCTATAGTGGTGTGTTTGGCACTACTTGTTTGTAACTCATTCTCAAAACGAGGTAGTAGCTCATTAGCGCATAATTAATTATATATATATGATTAATTAAGTAAATATAAAAGAATTGAAAAATGTAGTAATACGATCTTTTAAAACAACTTTAATTTAGAAAAAATTTCAAGTTCAGGAAGTATGCACATGGAAAACAATATAACAGAGGTCAGCAAAGTGTCCTGAACACACCCTAACCAGAGGTTTGGAAAGCACTACTCTTTAACATCCTCCAATTCTAACAACACATGATTTGTTGTTGAAAAAAGTCTTTCTGACTCTCATGGCTTAATAATTGAGTTTATCTGTAGCTAGCACATTCGACAATATTTAGGAGAAAAACTTTTTCACTTTAATTACATGTGTAACTAGGGTGTAGATTTGTTTTGAACGTAAAACCCACACTTGCCCAGTGGTGGAGAGGGCTCGCCAAAGAGGCAGAGCTTGCGCGATTGAATCCCACGCTGTCGATTTTATTCCCAATCTCCACCCGCACGAATTTTATACATAGCCCAAACTTTAAGTACCTTCGCACTGGTACCTTCTATCTTAATCCGTTGGATTTAGAGCAATCAATGGCTCTAATATATCACATGCACTGTAGAAAGTCTTTAATTTTTTTAAACAAAGTTTATCCTTGCCTTGCTCTTCATTCTGCGCTTAGCTTGATGGTTTTGTTTCAATCTTTAATTGTTGGCTTTTCTTTTCTTTTTTTTTGCGTGATTGCGAGGCAAGGAAGGGATTATTGAGGGATCTTTATCATTATTTTCTTCATTTGTTTTCTTCTTGCCTCTTCTTTTCCTACTCTATGGGCATTCAGCTATGCATCCTAGTTTACATCCTCCCTCAGTTATCAAAACGAGATCAATTTTCATTTAGTGACTAACGTGGCATCCATGTTAGTACCAACATGAACATAATAATAATAATAATAATAATAATAATAATAATAATAATAATAATAATAATAATAATAATAATAAGTGGATCCACATGTCATCCCTTCTCTCTCTCGTCCCCTCTTCTTTCTATCTCTTTTTCCTAGTTGGCGGACCTTCGACAATGGCTCCTAGCTTTGGTGGAGCCATGGGAGCCCTGAGTTGTTCTCCTCTCCACCTACCACACGTCTGTCACCAATGCTGATGGCCGTCTTGCCTCCATTGAAGGAGATCCTCGCCATGGTTGTCCTCGCGGCTGGAGCCACCTCCTCGCTACCTCTTCTCTGTGGGAAGAGCAAGTGTTGTGGCATTGGGGGACGTGGGCTATTGTCGGGCCACCGTTGGGGAGTAGGGAGAGGGGTTGAGGAGCTCTCCTCCTCGACCTCCCTCTTCTCCCTCTATTTCTTTGGCAACCTCACATGTTTCTCCTCTTCTTCTATCTCTCTTTCTCTCTTCCCTATAGCTCTCTCTAGGGCATGTGCCTGTGCACAGGTCATCTGTGCATATGTACCAATGTGGTGATGCCTCCACATGCAAACCTAATTCGTCTCTCACGCTGCTACTAGTTTCTCAACCACCTTGACGGTGGGGCTGTCACTATCCCTAATTTCAGCAGTCTGCGTTGCTTCAGTTTCACATCAACAAGAAAGATGTGGAGGCGGCGTCATGCTCTCCTTCGCTGCTCAATTCTTCGGTGGCATGGTCTGCTAGTGGGATTGGATGCTACTGGGCCACCACGTCTGATGGCAAGAAAGCAAAGACGATGACTCTGTAGGTATTGTAGATTTCTGGAATCTGTTGTGTCTAGGCTAGTCTCTAAGTGCTTTCATCATGTAGTATATGCCAAATCGCTGTCTTTTTTGAGGAATTAGTTTAGGTCTGTTGTGTTCATCTCCATTTATAGATACTATGTGTCTGAAATATTTTAGCATATGCTGCATTTAAATCAATTTGAACAACAATACATATTTGCAACCGGACTAAATTGACACTTACGGCAATAGCTAAACAACATCCAAGGCAACAACATAATAGAAAACCATCACTAGCACATTTTGGCAGAAAACCATCACTAGCACATTTTGGCCCTCAATAATTTAGGTAATAAAAAAGTTGTATTTTCCTCTAATTACAACATTCTTCTAACTAGACTTGTCGGAAATAACCAATTTGCCTTACAACGAATCTAGTACTCCACAATAATGTTTATTTGGACAATTTCTTTGAGATACCATTCTATGTAATGATTACAATACTTCTAGGAATTAGGGCACATCATGATTTTGTTTTTGATTGAACACACTCCAATTTGTGTGCAGAACATGCCATGACCTTTCAAGGTGATGAAGAAGCTTGACATGGATGAGGTCTTCAAGGAGATAGCAAAAAAAATCTCTTGAATCCAATCAGTGACTCATGGATGTGTGACTCCATTATGAAAATCTTCAGTTGGAAGCCTGAAAAACCCACCTTTTTGTTGGAGCATTATTATCTCGAATTATTGAATGACACTCTATGTCACATGCCCATGGCTTGTTAATTTACTACCCTTTCCTATGTTCAATGTAGTTAATTAAAGACATTCCAAATTGATGACAGTATAACAATGAAAAAGCTTTGGTATCTGATGAGCCCCTTTGTGTTACCTGCGTACTTCTCTCAAGATTTGGTTGACCTCTGATCTTTTGATATAGTTTTGTTTTGCCCACAAGTTTGAACTACAATTGTTCTTGATAGGTAGTGAGGCTAGCTCCTTGTCGTTGTGAGCTCTCAAAGTATTTTTGTACTATTCCTCATCATCCCCTGATTCTGTGAATGAAGCAACCCAAATGAGAAAATGAAATGAACATGTTGAAAGGTGGACAGAACATGGGCAAAGAAATTAATGCAAAAGAATATATAGATATAAATTAGAAAGAAGCATATGTGTTAAAGTGTTGATTTACCTCCAGAACTAGAAGAAGAGCTGATCCCAATATTTGTCTCGAATCTATAGGGATCTCTCGTGTACAACACATGCCACCTCCGTTCATTGTCTCCTTGGTCAGCATAGGCCTTCACATGCTGGACACGGCTCAACTTGCTCCACTCAGGACCGGATTCTCCTGTTGATATGGCTGTGAGCATCTCCAAGCTGCAGTCTAGCACCAGATGCCTAGGACTCACACTCTGCAGCAGGTATCCTGGAAGCTCTTCCATATCTAAGTCCTTGAGCTCTAGCCTCAGCAGCTCAGGAACCCCCTCCAATATCCTCATCTTCAGGCAGCCGTCAATGACGAGCTTCTGTAACTTGTTGAGGGAAGTGATACTCTCCAGGTTGGGGTTATCATACACCTCAAGCTTGACAAGAGAAGCAAAGCTCTCCACAGAATTGAGTTGTTGGATGTTACGTAGGTACAAGCTTGTCAAGGCCGTTGCTTGTGAGGAAAGGCCAGGAGGAAGGCGTCTCAGCTTGCAGTTTTCGATCACAAGCTCCTCCAATGCAGGCATTGCATGCACACTATTTAGTTGTTGATCCCACTCCCACTCCTCCCACTCCACCATGCCTATCAGATTCATCCTCTTCAGCCTCGGGAAGGCATGAGCTTGGCGGAGTTGGCTCGATGATGGTAGTATAGTTAGGAATTCAGGGCCAACACGCTTGGTTGCAGGGGCATGGGTGAGCTGAAAGTAATACAGAGACGGAAGTCGGCAGAGGCCATCTGGGAGTTGGTTGCAGCAAGCGAGGTCATCCATGATCACCATCGACAACCTCTCATATGCACCTGCTACTCTTGACATCATCCACCTTGGTAGCTGCTCTCCAAAATGGCCACTAATCTCAATGCTCTCTATGCACAGTGGCGGGGTAAGCGCATTGAACACCTCCTCGATTTGCCGCTGCTCTTCCGTGGGGACACCATTCTCGTCTTGTACAAAACCATCTTCACCAAGTCTACTACTACATTCTAACATCAAGTAGCTAAGGTGGGCCTTCTCACCAAGCCTAGCCTTTGCAGCGAACGAGATAGCAGGTACATTCTCTAGGTTACTTAGTCCAAGAACCCAGAGCTGAGCAAGAGGCCCCAGCTCTTGCAAGCTACACTAATCACCATCTACTTGGGTTGGAAAACCATATAAAGTCCTCAAGCTTGTTAGGCCACAAAACCCTCGAGGTATACTAGTTATACTTGTGCCACTAAGGTCAAGATACCTCAATTGTCCTAGCTTTACAATGCTATTAGGAAGCCTGTCCAAATTCTCACATACAAGGCCAAGGTACTGCAAGAATCTCATCTTGCCAATGTTTTCTGGCAATCTAGTTATGTCACCACATTTTAGGGAGATGTACCTCAAGTGTTTGAGTTGATGCAATGATTCAACCAATGTGGAAGTACAGTTGGCATTTTCTATGTGTAGAGTCCTTAGGCTTGAAAGAGTAATCAATGAATCCCCTGGGTTAATCTTAAGCTCACCAACTAGTATTAGTGTTCTAAGTGATTTTTGCCCTTGTATAATTTTCCACCCAAATTCATCATTCGGTTGCAAATCATCTGTTTCTATAGACAACCTGAGAAATTTATGTGATTTAAGTGCACCCCTGCCTATTTCATCTCTAGATGAAATTACAAGTGCTTCATCTCTAGCCAGATGTTGAGCAAATGAGCGAACAACATCATGCATGGTGCTAACCCATTCTCCAGCGTACTCCGCATTTGGCTCTATTAAGTTTCTGTAAATTAACTCTTTATAGCACTCTTCTCCTAATTGTTCTAAATCATCAGTTTCCCCATGAAGAAATCCTTCACTTATCCACATGCTAGTAACTGTGTCAATGAAGAAATCCACATTTTTGGGGAGGAGGGAGTAGTGCAGAAAGCACTGCTTCAGACAAGGGTGCAAATCTTGATAGCTCAAGTATATAGTATAGTTTAGCTCATCAGGCATTTGAGGTACTGACCATATAGAATCATGCAAAATTTTCTCCCAATCTGCTCGCCGTCTCTCCTTTTGGCACAAGAGTCCCCCCATTACTTTGACAGCAAGAGGCAATCCACCACATTTGTCTATTATCTCCATTCCGATGTCCTTGAGCGTCTCATCAATCTCAACGTCCTCCATCTCACTTGAAACTACCTGAAAATTATTTCATATACATGCATGCATTTAGAACAATTAGTTTAGCAAATGGTACTCTATTCTAGTCTATATACATACAAGTTAATATGTTGGCAATGTCTTTTTGTTGTTAGATTATTTTTTTTCGGGGATTTTTGTTGTTAGAATTAATTATTATGGCCAAGAAGATAGGTGTCACAGTGTTTCTTATGGCAGAGATAGATGAGGGAGGGATGTAAAACATTTAGTATATTGTGTAAATCTGACCTGTTTCTTGAGCAGTGACCATGCATCTGGAGGGCACAGTTTGTCGACGTGGTGGAAGGGGTGCATGGCTTGCATACCCCGGGCGACGGCGTCATGGCGGGTGGTGACGAGGACACGACTGCCGGCGGCGCCATGGCTGAAGGGCACCTTGAGCAGGCCGCTCCATGCTCTGTCGCTCCACACGTCGTCGAGCACCAGGAAGAACCTCTTGTCCCTGATGGCGTCCACGAGTGTGGGCACCAGCAGTGACTTGTTGCTCTCTCGACCATCGCTGGCACCGCCGACAGAGACGGACCTAATGGCCATCCTAAGGAGCTCCACCTCGTTCACGTCTTGTGTCACGCTCAACCATATCTTTTTGTCGAACGCTTCCTTGATGGCCTCGTCATTGAACACCTTTTTCGCCAGCGTCGTCTTGCCGATCCCGCCGGTGCCCACCACGGCGACCACCACCACTGCATTCTGCTTCTTGTTCTTGCCGTTGGTGAGCATCTTCACCAGTGTCCTGGTATCCTCCTCGATCTTCTCTCCGACCACAGCCGACCGCTCCAGCACCGGGTCCGTCTTGCGGTCGGCGGCACTAGGTCGGCGAGGCGCCGCCATGTCCTCGTAGGCCTCCAGCTTGAGGAAGCTGAAGGCGGCGGCGCTCTTGCAGATGGCGTCGAGCCTGGCGTTGAGCGCCTTGATGCGGCTACCAATGTCGTGGGCGAAGAGCGGATTGCGGAGACAGAAGAGCAGCGAGTCCAGGCAGCTGATGTTGACGGGAGGTGCGGATGAGCCGACGCCGCCACGCTGCATGGCCTTGAGGTGGCAAAGGTCGAGGATGTCGGTGACGTCGTACATGACGTCCTTGAGCTTCCTGACCCAGCCCTGGACGCTCTGGTCGGTGATGCGGCGGCGCTCGGCGTCGGCGAGGTAGTCCTTGAGGCTGTTGAGCCTTTCGTGGAGGCTGGCGATCTCGCTGGAGACGCCGAGCAGGAGGGTGAGCTCGTCCTGGGCCACCTGCTTGAGCAGGTCGCCGACGTAGGACGCGAAGGCATCCAGGACGATGGCCATAGCTAGCTAGTTGATGAACTGGGAGGCCTGATCGATCAGCACGGCAGTGTGGGTGTAGATAGCTAGCCTCACGCGCGTACGTGTATTTATCTTCTAACGGCCATTTAGTTTTTAGTTTTTTTTTTAAGAAAGATTTATCCCTTCCTTACCTTGCTGTGAGTGCTATGCCTAGCTTGATGCTTCTGCTTCAATAGCTTTTCCTTTATTTTCTTTTCACTTTTTTATGTGGGATTGCGTGGGAAGGAAAGGATTACTGAGGGATCTTTTTCCTTGTCATCATTTTCATCATTTGCTTTCTTTTCCCCTTTTATTTTCCTAGCATCTGTGGGCTCCCGGTTTACAATTCTGTCCTCCCTCAATTATTAAAACAAGATCAATTTATCTCCCTCAATTCGATGATTTGCCGGTCGGTAGCTGAACGGGTCGACAGAGACCACGCCCCAGCTTGTATTGACCCACCATAGCCGGCCGGCGAAGGCCAGCACCGCGTTATGCGGCTTATTCCCAGCCGAATCAGCAGCGGATCTATCATAGGGGCTAGAGGATCTCGAGCCTTCACTACCAGCAATATAACCATAAGAACCCTGGTAAAACCATCACTAAAATTTTACGTCATATATATTTATTCGATTTTGCTATATATTTGTCGATAAATTTTCTCCTAAAAATTTGACAGATGTAATTACAGTACAATCGTAGTGTAATTACACTGTAACTATAGTGTAACTTGTATGTAACTTTCAAAAATCTCTCCGTAATATGTTATTTCGATAAAATAGAGGTTGTGGAAACAAATCCTTACATATGTATGTGCTGTGATTTTATTTTTCTTCCTCACCAAAACAAATCTTGTAATAGATCTAAAGATTCAAAATTACATGAAACTTATATACAAGTTACATTGTAGTTACATGCAAGTTATAGTGTAATTACATATAAGTTACAGTGTAATTACACTACGATTGTACTATAATTACATCTGTCAAATTTTTAGTAGAAAATTTGTTGACAAATGTATAGGTGGTCCCAATGAATATAGAGAGAGGCTTGGGCCTACATGTCACTGGGATAGAGGAAAAGAAGGGAGGTGGGCAGCATGGATATGTGCGAGTCATGTGGATCGATCCATATCTTGCGCCCTGGTTGTTAATTTCTGATCAAAGGAGCAGCACATCTTCTTATAGTATTTCCTTGGTGTGACAGCGGAGAGCCTATTCTCTCTAACCTAATCTCCTCCATAATTTTGAGTGATTAGCAGCAGCAGCAGCTGGTGATCTGCGATCTTCTCGTCCTTCGTCATCCCCGTGCTGATCTTTCTAGGTCTCAACTTCGTTGTCTCGGCTCGCCACGAACAGCGGACTTCGTCGTGCTTCACTATACGTCTCTCAACGGTTTTGAGTACCGTTGATTTGTGAGAAAATCGGTCCATCTTTCTACGTGATATTATTGTTTGAGACTTACTAATTGCTAGTAGTAAATTAATTCTTGCTAGTTGTTAGCCTGCATATGTGGAGTAAATTGAGAGCCATAGCTAATAGCTTGACGTGTTTGACGTTGCCATGTCAAATTACGTTGCATCTTTTGTGATCATGCTACTAGCATATATTTCCATGTGGGAGTTCTTAATTCTTGTTTCTACCTTTCCATTTAGTTTAGGAATTAATCTCATGGTTAAAATATGTCTCCTAGCACTATGCTTTCAACATTGGGCGAGCTCGATTGACGCGCGCTGTGCCGAAGAAAGCGAAGATTCGCCTATCTTGGTGTATTGTATCATCGCCCACGGAGGCTGCGATGCGGCCGTACAGAGGCCGCGGCGGAGGCGGCCAGAGATGCGACACTGAAGCACAATCTTGGTGAGGGTGGGGTTCTCACTCTCTTTCCTCGGTCCTTCCAACAGAGAGGTGCACCTAGCGTCGTGGCATGCTCTATTGGGATTGGTTCACGCAGTGAAGTATGTACGGTGTCACACAGTTAATAATAACTACTAATACTTTCACCTTTTATTTAACTTTTCCTTAAAAACCTACTAGTACTACTGGTTTAACTACCGGAAGTTTTCTTTGAAAATCTTACTTACTACTTTCCTATAAATTATTTTACCAAGGCACTTCCTCCGAAAATTCTTTGCCTCAGGCGACCGTCCGAGGGATCAAAATCGGGCGCTCCCCCCGACGCCCCACATGTCCCCCTAGGCCCCATCATGTGTCTTGCTCACACCTGCCACGTTTCTCAAAAAAATATTTCACCTAATATACTCACAATGTTTCACTATGTATAGATCTAATGTTGCAGTGAATTAAAATATTCTTTTGCAACAAATCACCCACATATTTTGGAAACCCTCTATTAAGCTAATTCGTTCCATTTTTTGTTCCACCAAAAATATTTTACCTAGTGCACTTATAATGTTTCACTATGTATGGATCAAATGTTGCAGTGAACTGAAATATTCTTTCGTTATTTGCTGAAACATTGTTTTTATATAAGGTGAAACAACGTCCGATTTAAATGATTGAAACATTTTCGATCTACTTAGTGAAACAATTCCGATATACCTGGTGGAACATCGTGCAACATTTAAAAATAATTCAATAATAAGCTAAAAAAATTTTATCGAAATATATCCATATGTGGTCTTGTTTTGAAGATTTAATTGCAACAAATTTAATGGTGCAATCATATCATGATTTGGATAAATAATTTAAGAGAAAAAATAGTTTAAAGTGTTTTTGCACGCATGCGTGGCACTGACGTCAGCGCCCGATTTTACCCCCTCCGCATCGGGCGCCCGACCGGGAGTCGCCTCCCACTTCCTCCATCTCAAAATAAACAAATCTAAAGTAGAATTAGACGTTATCAAGAATGAATCTGGATAGGGGTTGTCTAAATTTGTTGTTTAAGGCAAAGTCACATCATGTCCCAGATTGGTTTATTTTGGGATGGAGGAAGCAGCAATTAAACTTCCATGAATATTTTTTTCGGAAAAAGTACGAATTACCCCCCCCCCCCCGAACTATCGCGGTCAGCCGAATTCCCCCCTGAACCCGAAAACCAGACATGACTCACCATGAACTTTCAATACCGGATGAATTACCCTCCTTATCCAATCCAAAGCGGTTTTATCCTACTTGGCGTACGCGTGGCAACCCAGTCAACATTTTCTTTTTCTAAAACATAGTGGGGCCCACCTGTCATATACACACAGTCTCTTCCCTCTTCCCTCTCACTCTCTCTCTCTCTCCCTCTCTCGGCGAGAACGGCAGCCCGCGGTGACTCCAGCGTCGTCGTCGTCGTGGTCCTACGCGGTGGAGCCATCCAAGGTCACATCACCTCCCCTTCTCCACCACCATCCCGGGCCTCAGGTGCAGCGATGGCGGTCTCGGGAGCCACGGCGTCCGCCATCGGCAACTCCTCGTTGGCAGGCCAGAGACGACGATGGTGAGCTCCCGGAGGCCGGGCGCATCCACCTCCGTTGCTGTCATGTCGTAGGAATGATGAAGCCAGAGCTCCTCAAGCGTAGTGGCGGCGGCGTCGAGCCACAGGTTGGTGAGGCCGGTGATGTGGCAGCCTCCACAGCTGCGGGCAGTAGGCGGAGGTCATCACCATCGTTGACGCTGGTATAGCTGAGCAGGACATCGGTGAGAGCGCGGAAGGCGCTGCCGGTGGCATTCAGGATTCCGAGGACCGCGCTGCCAAGCCAGAGGCGCATCGTGTGAAACCCCCCAAGCAAGGGAGGACGGCGGGGCACGCCGGCAAGCCCCTCAGACTCCTCATCTCCATGGGAAGTTCGAGCGTGAACGTCCCCGTGACGCAGCCACCGCCGCCTCTGCATCCAGCGCCGCTGCGGCCTCCGCATCCAGCACCGCCGCATCCCACTCCACCGGCTCTCTATCCCACGACAACGACGACGACGCTGGAGCCGCCGCGGGCTGCCGTGCTCGCTGGGAGAGGGAGAGAGAGAGAGTGAGAGAGGGGAAGAGGAGAGAGATAGAGTATGTGACAGGTGGGCCCCACCATGTTTTAAAAAAAGAAAATGCTGACTGGGTTGCCACGCGTATGCCACGTAGGATAAAACCACTCCGGATTGGATCGAGGTGGGTAATTCGTCCCGTATTGAAAGTTCAGGGTGAGTCATGTCTCTTTTCGGGTTTAGGGGGGAATTCAGCCGACCGCGATAGTTCGGGGGGGGGGGAGGGTGGGTAATTCGTGCCTTTTTCTCTTTTTTTTCTCTCATTATCGGTGCTGGAGTTTGTTCCAAGATGTCATCTAAACTCCGTAAACTTGCAAAACTCACACCCATCTAAATCTAAAATCTTGATTTAATATACCAAGGTTCAAAGTGTAATTGGCAAGCAATAGTGCATAGGAATCTTTTCCTTCACTGGTCCATTCTAGAGATTTATTAGTCAATGTTGTTCTTTTCCCCTCTTTCCCTACTCAGTTCACTCGTTTTTCGCGTGCACGCTTTTCAAACTGCTAAAGGTGTATTTTTGTATAAGTTTTCGATATGAAAGTTGCTTAATAATGATACTTAATAATATAAACACCACGCTTACATTACTAAATACCACTCTACATCCATGCATCCGACATAGAGCAACCGAATACTAGGACATTAAACCCACACTAATGCACCTCTCTGGTAAACTAGCTACACAACTATATCGATGCAAATATAAAATAATCTCGGTACTCAGATGATATAAAGGGAATAAAATAACGAAGATGTATAAATAAGAATATTCTATTAATTCAGTAAGTCTTACAAAAGAAGAGAGAAAAACTGCTAGAGCTATACCCGAAATCTCATGAAGACTTGAGGACTAAGAAAACTATTCTAATTCCTACTCCACTAGCACTAGAACACTACTAAACTTAAGAGAGCTCTTTGATCTTCTTCTTGAGTGTGTGTTGGAGTGGAGAATAAGCTCCTCATTAAATAAGCTGCTAATGATAGTTGTGATAGATGGAAATGTCCTAACTGCTCAGCAACCATCATTGAGGAGTGATCTGGAGCGTCCACTCCAAACCCAGCCTGAACGGCTGGGATGGGGGTTCGACCGAACCATGGGCTGGCCCAA